TGGCCCCCCCGGGGGGCAAGCAGGAGCCAGAGCGGCGGTGGCGGATGCCCATGGCTTCCATTGATGCTCAAACTTGCTGCATCCCCATGCGATGATGCCCCGCACGCCTCCACCAACCGTCTTTCAATGTGGAGCATCCTATAGCAGCTTGCTGTTGCGTGGTTGGCGGCGGCCGTACCTGCACGCTCCAAACCCACGCGGCACCGGGTGGGAGGCTGCCTGGCGCAGCCTCCTTTTGTACCTACAACACGCACAGGTGAACGAGTGCCCACGGGGACCTTCTTAAGTCTGAGATGTCAATAACGGTCCCCAAATCACCACCCAACGAGCAGCTTCCATGGCAGTCCTGGTGCGAGCAGGGGGGAAAGCTCGACTGGGCGATGCGCCAAGAGTGCCAGGGGCTCACCCGAGCAGGGCTCAGTGGAGATCAACTCATCCAGAAGACCAGCTCATCCAGAAGGCCAAGTCATCCCGAAGACCAACTCATCCAGAAGACCAACTCATCCAGAAGGCAAACTCATCCAGAAGGCCAGCTTATCCAGAAGACCATCTCATCCAGAAGGCCACCTCATCCACAAGTGAAAAAATCCTCAGGCCTCCAACCAGAGCCAGGAGGTGACCTCCTTCATCTCTGCCTGCAGTCCGTCTTCTCGTTGAGGCATTTGATAGATGGGTAACATCTCCAAATGATGATGTGTCCTGCAGCACGGGGTCTCCTGTCACCAACTCTCCAGCACGATCTCCATTTCAACCCTAATTGCAATTTGTCATGAATCAATGAGGTTTTTTTTTTTTTTTTTTTTTTTCTCTTTATTAATAATTCGTGGGTCACAATAACGATCATCTCAGAGTAAACCTGGGCAAGGGTTGCACCCTCGGGCTCCAACTGGGCTGGTCAAACCTTCCCCTCGGGGCTGCTCGGTGTCCTGGGATAGGCAAGAAAGCCCAAGGGGTGGGGAAAGCCCAAGGGGTGGGGAGCAACTCAACCTTTCTCACATGAATCCACTTCTCCTGGGGCAGCTCTGAGCCAGCAGATCATCCACTGTGGAACGACTGCCCCTCTATGGGAAGGTGGACACGAACGCTTGGACCATCTCGACCACCTCTGCACAAAATAAAGTATCAAACACTTGGAGGGGCTAAACTTCAGCCAAGCTTGGGCTTCAGCCTGAAGACACCTCTACGCTGCTCCGGCCTCAAAAGCAACCTGTCACTCCACTTGGGACGTTGCCCACCGCCTTGCCCACGTGCCGCTGTAAGGCGGGGAGCAGGAGGAGATCATTTCATGACGTTGTCACAAAGGTGGGCAGGAGCCAGGAAGCAAACCTCCCAGCCGCAGGATGTGGCACTGGACAGATTTCTCCACGCCCCGTCACGCCCCAAACCGCAGGCACACCAAGGGTGTGCTTTGCGCCTTGTTCTCCCCCCAAAATGCTGGGTGACCTTTGAGGACCAACCCTTCTCCTGTGCTCCACGGAGCCCGTCAGTAGGAAATGTGGCTGTCGGGAAGGGCAGGAGCCGGACACCACCAGCTGCAGCCTTGTCCCCAGGCTCAGGTTTGTTCTTCAGGGCTGTCCCAATCCACGGTGTCTCCAGGGAGGGACATGGTGACCTCACGCCATGAAGAGTTGGCCCAAGAGTTGGCTGACGCTTCTGCTCCCACCCACGGTCGACAGTTTGAGATGCCGAGTTCCTGCGAAGTCTGCACTGATCCCTTGAACCTGGCTGACCCACGGCTTTCACCAGTTGCAGGTCACTGGAGCCTCTTCTCGCGACGAAATGGCAGCGATGTGGGAGGCCGACGCCCAGCAGGAGGGGCCCTTCCCCCTCCTTTTTGGCAGAATGCATCTTCTGCAGATGCCCCACTGCCAGCACGGCTCCTGGAGGCCCCGCTGACCAACCCACCAGCCTTGGCTCCGGTTTGGGTGCCAAACCGCCCCGGTTGACGTCTTGCCCAACGCACACTTCTCACCCCCCACCACTCTTGGTGGATCCCATGGGTCCTGAGAGCTGGAGGAAGCTCTGCTTGTGCCAAGGTCATGGAATCATGGAATCGTTCCCAGCTGTTAAATCCCCCCAGGGCTGGGGACTCGACCCCTTCCCTCGGCAGCCCCTTCCAGTGCCTGACAGCCCCAAGGGGAAGGAATCGTTCCCGATGTCTGAGTGACCACATTAAATAAGAATCAAACCTTCCCCCTGCTTTCGGAGAAGCGCACGTTGCCCGTGACACCTTCTGCATCGCCTCCTGGAGGTTGAAGACGGCTCCTTGTTTCCTTGAGCAGGCAGCAAAGCCACGAGTGCCAGCCAGCGCACTCTGCCCTCTCCACTTCTTCAAGACCAGGCTTTGATTTTCCTCTCCGCTCCCCCAGTTCCCCCCAAGTCTTTTCCACCTTGTCCAAACCGTTTCATGGCCACTGGATTGGGGGGTTTCTGCAAGAAGAGGCTCTTTGCTCCTCCACAAGCTGGTGGGGTGGCACATGGATCACCCCAACTACCAGAGGTTTTTCATCCGCTCAACCCATGTTTCAGTTCCTTGGGAGATGCCACCTCAGGGCGGGGAAGAGCAGAGGTGGCTTTTATGGAGGTGCTGAAAGCATCGCCCATCTCACGGTGGTGGTGGTGGGGGTCTGAGCCGGAATTTGCCACTGTCTCCAGAGCATGGGCAAGCTCATGGCACTATCAATTCCACACTGAAGCCCACACTGGCACAGAAGACCACACATGGCAAAGGTTGGAAGGGACCTCGGGAGCTCACCCAGTCCAACCCCCCTGCTCAAGCAGGTTCTCCTAGAGCATGTTACACAGGACTGCGTCCAGGTGGGGGTTGAATATCTCCAGAGAAGGAGACTCCACAGCCCCCTGGGCAGCCTGGGCCAGGGCTCAGCCACCCTCAAAGTCAAGAAGTTCTTCCTCCCATTCAACTGGAGCCTCTTCTGCTTCAGTTTGTGCCCATGGCCCCTTGTCCTGGCGCTGGGCACCACTG